GGCAGGAGCCCCAGAAGCAGCTGTGGGTGGGAGGGACAAACCCAACCTGGATGGCGGGCGAAGAAACCTCAGGGCATCCCCTGCGAGGGCAGCGGTGGGGCGGCTGCATGGGCATCAGGGCTGCTGCAAACGGCCCCTTCCCAGTGCTCCCAGTCCCTCCATCTGCCGGCACCCCAGTTCGGGTGAGTGTTTTCACGCAGTGGGGATGGGGGGCTGCACAATGCCACGTCCCAGCGAGCTTTGCAGCTTGCTCTGAGTGGGGGAACCCCTGGTTTTGGAGGTTTAGGCTGTAGGGAGAGGCTCTTATCTCCTTCCCCATCGCCCCTGATGTGGCAGGGGTGGCTTCGGCTCGCAGCCATCCCCGTATCCCGCGGCCCTGGCCCTCTCTGCTCGGCAACACAGGGTTTGGGTGCTCGCCTGCTTGGGCTCTGCGCCAGGCACTGCCTTCCTTGCCAGCTTACTTGCTGGGGTTTAGTTTGGGATTTCCTTTTAACACCCCCCTCTTATCTCCTTCCCCATCGCCCCTGATGTGGCAGGGGTGGCTTCGGCTCGCAGCCATCCCCGTATCCCGCGGCCCTGGCCCTCTCTGCTCGGCAACACAGGGTTTGGGTGCTCGCCTGCTTGGGCTCTGTGCCAGGCACTGCCTTCCTTGCCAGCTCACTTGCTGGGGTTTAGTTTGGGATTTCCTTTTAACCCCCCCCCCCCCCCCCCGCTTTTTTTCCTGTTTAACCCCACCACTCTCACGGCTGCGCTCCCCCCTCTGCCCTTGCAACGCTGCTGCCAGCGCCGGGCCACGAGCGTCCGGCTCCTGCACGGTCCCTTCCCGGCACGAGGCCGCCTCCTGCGTCACCTGTGCTGTGCCTGGGGTGAAAAAGCACGACCTGAGGACGGGGATGGTCCAGGGGAAGACCCAGAGAGGCAGAAATCCCAAAGGCCTCTCCCCCGGGGGTTGGATGGGGGGCCCGGCTGCACCCTGGAGCCCTGGGAGGCTGAGGCGGGTGCGGGGGCGAGCGCTGCCGGGCAGGAAGGGACAGGGACAGCGCGCACGAGGGCGAGCACGAGGGCGTGCGTGCACAAGCAGGTTTATTTGGCACAGCAGGGGGCTCTTCCCAGCCCCCCCCGTTAGCAGACTCGCTTAAAACCACCGCGCAACAGAGCCCGGCTCACGGCATCGTTCATTTGGGCAGGAGATGGTTGCTGCACAACAGCGTCAGCACCGGCTCCCCGCGCGTTCCCCCCGCTGAGGGCCTGATCCTGGCCTGTCCCCGAGCGTCCCTGCGAGCCACCACCCAGCTCGCGGCCCCCGGCTCAGAGCAGGGTGGCTTCTTTCTGGCAGATCCAATGCAATCCCGAGCTGCAGCTCTCAGAGGCGATCCTGTCCCCCCTGATCGCCCCGCAGATTTTGCCTTCATCCCGGGGGTTGGATCCCAGCTGGAACCTGCGGGGGCAGGAGGGAGCCCGCGTCACGGCACGAGGGTCCCTCGGGTGACGGTGGAGGTGCCCACCCCGACACCCAGCCCTCCCCAACGCGCTCACCGGCTCCGGTCCAGGCGGGAGCCGTTCACCCAGGTCCAGTCCTGCCCAGGAGAGGGGAGGAAGAGGCCGATCCAGAAGTAGCTCCTGGGTTTCTGCACAATTCCCTTTACAAAAGCCTGTGTCGGGAGAGAGCGCAGGTGGGATGCCAGCGTGCCACCCCAAAACAGGCTCCAGCCTGTCCCCGCGCTGTCCCCATCCCAGGACCCAGCCCCACCGGTGTCCCCCACACCCAGAGGCTTGGGCACAGGGGTGGGTGCTGACCCCAGATTTCTGGGCAAGCCCTCAGCCCTCCCCCCCAGGTGCCATCAGCCCCTCGGAACCAGCCCCGGCACCGAGCCCACGTCCCCGATGCCATCGGTCCCTTTACCAGCTCGTCCTGGTCCCCCAGCGTCAGCAGCTCGGCGCTCCGATTCTCACAGTCCTCCCGGCTCTTGCTCCAAGAGTTGGTCCTGTCGGTGACCCAATAGCACTTGGTCCCACGCGGCGTCCAGCCCATGGGGCAGAGCTTGCACCCCTCACCCTCTGAAAGACAGCAGTGCCACCATCAGCCCCCAGGAAGCCACCTTGTCCCCTGCACACCCAAAGAAGGACAAGTGGTTAGGTCCTGTTTGCTCCCCAGGAACACGGGGATGCCCTGAGCTTCTCTTGGTTCTCCAATTTAGGGCTGCTTCAGGTTTTTGGGAAAGCTGATGGCACAGAGATGCGTCCATCAGCCCCCAGGAAGCCACCTTGTCCCCTGCGCACCCAAAGAAGGACGAGTGTTTAAGTCCTGTTTGCTCCCCGGCAACACGGGGATGCCCCGAGCCTTGGGTCTCCAATTTAGGGCAGCTCCAGGTTTTTGGGAAAGCTGATGGCGCAGAGATGCGTCGTGGCCGGGGCAGGTACCTCGCAGCTCCGACACGCAGAGACTTTTCCTCAGCTCTGAGCCGATGTTCTCCACGGTGCTGGTGCCATCTCCTATGGTCCCGCTCCCGTTTCTGCAGCTTCCTGGGTTCTGCGGCTGCCGGTGGAGAACTGCAAGGGAAGGATGGAGCAGGGCAGAGGGACCGGCTCCCCCAGGGACGATGCCCGCCGAGATCGCCCTGCCCGTGGCCCCAGCAGGCTGCAGGGAAGCGTCTGGGACTGATCCTGACACCAAGCGGGTGCTGGGAGCCCCCCAGCCCTCCCCACATCCTCCCTCTTAGCTCAGCTCACCTTGAGCCGTGACCTGGGCATCTCCTGGAGAAGGGGTTTAGAAAGCGAGGGGGGCTGCTCTGAACCTCGGGCCCCAACGGGAGGGCCCTCCTCACCCTCTCTGAATCATTCCAACTCCAGCGTGACTTCATTTTCCCTTTGCGTTCTTCTTCCAGGTGGCGAGAGAGCGAACCCTCATCACTTCGTTAACTACATCGCTCTTCTGATTAATGTCATTAAAACATTCTGTCAATCAACCGATGACTGAGGGCTATGAAAATCTCCCTCAAACCCCGCGATTTTCCACAACTAAACCCTAAACTGCCATGACAACAAATTGCAAAATTCGCATTTTCGTTGCAAGGGTGAGGGGCTCCTCACCACCTTCCCACTCTCCCTTCCAGCACAGCATGCCTGCAGTGCACATGAACAGCTCCCAGCAGATTTATTTTGGGCTCTCTCCGGTACTGGGCCCACACAAGTTCAAACCATCAGCCCCAGATCGCTGCCGGCCCCAGGTCCAGCCCGCAAGAGGGACAGCGGATCCCTACGAGGCCACCGGCTTGGGGCTTGCACCCAAGTTTGCCCCCACATCCCCAGAGCACCCCCTGCGTTTTGCAGCTCCTGGCCCTGCAAAGGGCACAGCGCTCAGGGAAGCTCCAGCCTCACCCCTTTGCTGCTTCCTCCGTACCCCCGTGCCAAAAGTTTGGCAGACCCATCCCCGCAGTTCAGATCCACACCCGAGTCCCTCCCCAGCACAAGACCCGCTGGATCTCTCCGCATTTGGGGGTCGCCAGACCCTTCGGACATTTGAGTCTCCCTGCTTGGGGCTTGGTGTGGTTTGGGGGTGCTGTGGGTCAGGGCAGCGTCAGCTGCCACCAGCAACGCCACACCAAGCACACGGCTAATTTCAGCAGGGCTCCGTGTGACCCGGAGCTCGGCCACAGGGTGTCAAACCCTGACCCTGACATAGCTGAGAAGTTTCCAGTGGCCAACCACAATAGTTACATCTCCTCCACTCATTGGCTCTAAGAAATTCTGGTAAAAACCCACTTCCTTGCACTGATGCGCTTCAGCCAACGCAGGTTGTAAAAACCAGGTTTGCCTCCTACACAAGCACCTGGGCCAGCACCCCAGGAGCAGGGACCCCCTCTCCGCTCTTTGGGGGGTCCTCCCTTTGGATTGTCCTTTGGATGTCCCCATGCCAGCAAGCAGAGCTACTCACACAAGCATCCCATCGCTACCACGGCCACTCCGAGGAGGAGGTTCCCGGTCCAGCTGGCCCAGAGCGCGGTTCGGTACCAGCGAGGACAGCCCAATGCTGCAAGGGAAATTTTGAGAAAAACACTGCCCCAATCCCGCACCCAGCGAGCCAGATCCGCAGCGCAGATTTGGGCTGTTTTCTCCCCAAAAGGAGCTCGGAGCCTGGCAGCCCTCCATGGTTCTGCTGCGGGTGGTTCAAAAGCTTTGGTCGATCATCTGCATTTCACCGCTGCCGCCCTCCTCCAGCTCGCACCGATCCCGCTGGCACTGCAATAAAGTTGCTCGTGATGAGGTTGGGTTGGTTTTACCCAGTCATCCAAGGCTCCAGGAATCGGGAATTTCCTGGATGTTACAAGCCATTAGAAACCCAAAGGGTTAAGTCAAAGTTAGAGGTGGGCCAAGATGGGAGACATGCCCCATCACGGCATCCTTTCTCCCCACCAGGGCTGAACCTGGGTGGACCAAGCTCTCTAAGGAGACTTCATCTGGCCAAGGTTTGACAGCCTCATCCTCCTCGAGGAAGCAGAGGCAGATGTCCTCCCTGCAGAGCTCAAGGCCAGGGCAAAGCCCATCCGTCCTTGGCTCTTGTTGTACAAGAGGGAGGCAGGACGATGCTTCTGGGAAAAGCCAGAGCTCACTTTGACCAAAAGGGGACTGGGGTTCGGCAGCAGCCTAGGAATAAAGCAGCAAAAGGAGGAACATCTGAGTCCACCTTAACATCAGCAGAAGATGGGGTTTGCCCAGCCCTTTGAGATCAAAAGGGATGCGTTTGGTGGATAACATGAATTTTTGCAAATAAAAGAGGGCGCACCGTGTTGGTGGAGGAGGCCCCCACCAGGCAGAGGTCCCTTCCAGAGGTGGAAAGAACAGAACTAAACCTTTTGCTGTTTTGTTTCTCCAGAAGCCAGAAACCAAAACCAGAGTC